AGATGTTCTGGTCTTTTGTTTTCCTTTCTATTGTCTCTTTTGAATAGTGTGTAGATGTTGCCCACCCCAAAGAGCTATCTTACTGGTTTGTAGAATGGGAAAATAAAGCTAGCATACCCTTGAAAACAGATTGATCAGAGGATATAATGAGGCAGTTGCCAAAACCACAACACACTAGGGCAGTGTTTCTCAACCTTAGCAACTTTAAGACGGGTAGGGAATTCTGGGAATTGAAGTCCACACATCTTAAAGTTGCCAAGGTTGAGAAACACTGCACTAGGGTGCAGACTCAGAGAGGACATCAGATCTTTGCAGCTGCCCTGATAATCTCTGAAACTCATACATGTACTGAAGATTTGTGAGCAATATATTTTGGATCACATTGTTTCAGGAAAAACACTCAAAAAGGGGGGAAAAAACACTTTGTTTCTCAGAAGTGCTAGTACATAATGAGAGAGAGAGAGAGAATATGTGTGCGTGTATATATAAATAAATAAAAAGCATCACATATTTTTCACCTGTCTGCCCTACCCTACCATGGAAGTTTAATATATATTTCAAAAGCAAAAGCTGAATATGTAAGGTATTTATATTCTGTTCTTCAGAGAGTTACTTCATCAACCTATTAATTATTTAAAAAAAAATCTTACACCTTTAAATGAAAGGAAATGAAAAAGAAATCATTGGGCAGAAGGTTCCTGGAGCCATCACTGTCCTACAGCTTGCTTGGAGGATCCAAAGAATCAAGGAAGATAGCAGCCAGTTGCATTTTTATAAGAAAATAAAGACCTTAAGAAAGCATGGGTTCAAGGCTTTTAGGGCTTTTAGGGCAAAAATGAAATTTAACATATTGCTGATCACTTTTTTCTAAATTAGAGAAGTTCCTAGTAAACTGAAATATCAACAAATGTGGGTACAATTTATTTTGTAATCAAAGCATTAAAATAAAATGATATCACACCGTTAATACTGTAAGCAGGATTTAAGACTTACCCTTATGCCTGGTTTCGACTTACTTACTATGAAAGGGGGAAAAAAAAGCATTAGAATAAGGTCTAGGACAATTTTAACTTACTTTCCCAACTTGACTAGCAAAATCCCAGTGGCACTAAGAAGGCTAGAAATTTGACAATCAATGAATGTGGAGCGTATTCTGTATCCATCCATCCATGAAAACACTATATCTAGCAAACACCCTATTACAGTCACATGGCCACATTTCAGGTGCTTGGCAACTGGCTTGCATTTACAACCGGTTGCCAAGTGCCACATGATCATGTGATTGCCATTTGCAATCTTCTCTGCCGGCTTCCCCATTGGAAGCTGGTAGGGAAGGTTGCAAGCAGAGGAGACGCAGCAATGGGCAGTTATGGAGCTCAAATCTTCAGGATTTGAGGTCCCTGCCTTCACACCACTGCAAGGTTTTCCCTCTCTCTTCAGTAGTGCAAAGGCACGGACCTCAAATCTTCAGGATTTGACATACCTGCCTTCACACTGCTGCAAGCTTTCCCCTCCCCCTTCAGCGCTGGGCAGTTATGGACCTAAAATCTTCAGATGCTCCATTCACCACTGAGAGTGGGAAGGGAAAGAGGACAGAGCGAAAGCGTTTGTCTGCTGAAGGATTTCAGCTCTGCATGGACCTGAAATCCTTGAGCAGATGAAATCCTTCAGCAGACATCTCTTTCGCTCCATCCGCTAAACAATCTGGGAGATTGCTTAATGACCACAACTGGAAGTGCTTAGACTGCAGTCACTGAGCAAAGCAATCATGTGGGTATCTCGCTTAATGACCGCTTTGCTCAACAACTGAGATTCCGGCACCAATTTCAGTCATTAGGCAAGGACTACCTCTACTTAAAATTGGGGGGGGGGGGGAGGCAACCCCAATTTTTTTTAAAATAAAAGGATTTACACCTTAACCCCAATCATACATGAGTGGAAATATGAAGGTTTCTGTAAGTCAGTTCTTCAGTTACAGAAGATAAAACAATTTGAAAAACTAATATTCTTAGCTCTGAATTGCTTACAGAGCAATTCAGAGATATTTCTAGCAACAGAACATCACTATGCATAATTTAGTTCAAACCACATTTGAGGCTTAAAGGCATATCAACACATGCATCACAACATAGATATGTACACGCATATACACATGTTCCTTTCTCTACAACCATATCCCCAGCATACACATAGAGAGATAGACAAAACAACCCACTCCAGGTACCCACACATACACACACAGAGTAAGTACATATGGAAGGATTACAGTTTTAATGTCTTTGGGCTATTCTTGTAAACCAGATTTCTATATCAGTTACCACATCATCCATTCTATCCAAAAGTTCTCATAATATAAATAAATAAATAAATAAATAAATAAATAAATAAATAAATAAATAAAATCATCAAAACCACATAATTGGAAAACAGTAGCCACAATCCAACACTGAGAGAAATCAGTGGTAGTATTCTTGCCTAATTCAAAATTGTACACAGGAAGCTGGCTTATAATAGGGGAGCCTATCTATCCATCTAAGCCAGATGAATAATTTTAGGCTGACCAAGGGCTGCACCTAACATTTTGGAGGGTAAAGGCTGTAAGTGGACCCAACTGTACATATGGGGGAGTTGGTTTTTTGAGGATTCATACTTTGTTAAAATATTCCTATTTTAGGAATTTGTACTACAGTTTTCACATATGTCCTATGTCTGAACTATACTATCAATTTTCAGCAGCTATGACCTGGGGCGGGGGGCGGGGGGAAGAAAAGCTGCAAATACTGTTTCAGGGTCATGGTTTGCCTACCCCTTGATACAAGTAATTATTACTTACAAAATGATAATTTAGTTCTACCAAATCTACAAACACATACTTATGGATGATAATGATTGAAACTGGGTTGTGTTTCATAGAAACTTTGCGTTTATTGTATCTATTGGGTTGTGGCCACTCTCTTCAACGTAGCCCTGTATCAATCCAGCCTAGGTATTTTCCAAGTTCATGGACTTCAACTCTCAGAATTCATAGCCAGTATGGCGATCGTTAAGAATTCTGGGAGTTGAAGTCCACATATCTGTAGGAGACCTAGGTTGGGAAAATTGCTGTTTTCTGATGTAATCAGAGTAAAATAACCCAAATAACTAGAACATATCTCACTAAGGTATTTAAAAATTGAAGGTTTCCTTAAAGAAACAAAACAAAAAAGTGGTGGTAATCATTAATACAGACTGATTTTATATATAAGAGTAATCATACCACAAGGAGCCACTATCAATCTAGGTTTTCCATCCAGTATTTCAGTTTCAAGCTTTAAACCATCCCTGTAATAAAAAAAACAGCAAACTGTTTATATAATTGAAATCAGCTTGAAAAAATATGGAACATAATTTTTAAATAAACCAATAAAGCCTATGACTATGTTTTTACAAAATAGTAAAGATCTAAACTAAACAGCGATTACAGTGTGGCATCTGACATATTCTAGCTTTCTTTTCTCCTTTTCACTTCCAGAGTTTCCTCTCCTCCCTTAAAATCATACAAAACAATTATAAATTATACAGAATAGGAAATAATTCAGCTTTGTGGAAAAACCAGCTATCACTTGCAAGTCAAGCTGCCTAGAGTAAGATTTCCCCATTTTTAAAAAAAGTAATTTTAGAGGCAACAGGAGTACAAAACCATTTTACAGCAGTAAAAAGTAATTTTGGGGACAATATAAATAAAGAAACCCTAAACTCAATCCCTAAAAGAGAAAGATGAACTGTTTATTACTCTCAGATACTTACACAGAAATGGTGATTTCTTCTTTAATGCAGAACACAACTGACTCATTAAATTTTTTTGCATGTTCCCACAAACCTAAGTTCACAAGCTTTAACTTGTTTTTGAAATCTAATGCTGTTGCCTTAAAGGCTTTGAGTATATATATGGTAAAGGGCACACATACACACAGAGATCACTGGAACAGAGGAAGGCACAAGCACTTCCATATTCCTGAAAACGTACATATCCATCACCCTAAATGAAGCTGAAATCTTCATGGAATGCTGGGTCAGATTCAGATTTAGCATGTCCAACTTGACTAGCAGGAATTGACTTCCCTGGCTGTGTGATACAGGAAGAATCTTTGAAAATTAGGTTGAAATATCTTTTCCTGCTTTTGGTGATTGCATATATTTAAAACTGGATCTAACCTTCAATATGCATAATGCAGTATATACATTATTATACCAAAATGTGTACAAGATAGGATACTAAAATAACCATTAATGAACTGATTATCAAATAAAAGTTATTATAAAAATTCTGCTATCAGAAAACATGTAGACTGCTAACTGCAGCATACTGCACTGGGGACTACACCACCAGTGAATTTAGTCTTAAAAGCTCATGGAAGCTATAAAAGAACCAAGCTTTCCAAAAGTCACTTCACTGTGGTGAGTGAAAATGGCATAAACATTGTTCCCCAAGCTTAGGTGTTTCTAGGCCTCATGGGAAGAGAACTAGGAGCATTGTCATCCATGCTGTATATGTCTACTTCTGGAATGCACCACAGGGCCTCTTTTTTTCCCCATTTTTCCACCTAAGGTGGGGGAAGGAAAGAGCATAAGTTCTGAAATGCCTTTATTTAGAGCTAACTTTAGAGCTGATTGATTGGTTTAGAAAAGCAGCAACAAAAGCAGCTTTCTCGATAGCACATTTGGTCTCTATGGCACACTGGAATTTGTAGCTAGGTTCACACATTGTACTAAAACATAGTTTTGTTTGTTTAACAAAGCATAGCTAAAACTTCTCAGCTTAGCATGATATGAAAACACAGTTTTCTCTTATCCTTCCTTTCCCAGAATAAAACCTCTGGATGTAATTCTAAATTTGAAGAGTACAAGAAAGAAGGTATCTGTCATCATTCTTACAGAATCCCATAGCTATTTCAAATAACAGCTCTCTCATGCAGAAAAGCATATAGGAGTGAAAGAGAAATTAATTGCTAGTAGTGGCTATGAATAATAGATTGGGCAACAACAGTCTATTTTTGCATTTTTTATTTGATGGGGCACAAAAGGACCACAGTTAAACATGACCTGAGTTGTGCCTGGAACTCTAAAGCAATCTACAACCAAATGTGAACCAATGTGCTCCAATTACTTACTGCAAGAAAGGAACCTACAGTCTTGAAACAGTATGTCTTTAACAGCCAACTTACGTACAGTATAGTACATTTGAACAATAATCAAGTTTTAATTTATCAAGGCACAACTGTCATCTGCCAGGTCCAAATCTAATAAAGTATCTCTCCAGTAATCAAATTAGGGGAAAGTGCCTCATCAAGCTTGAAGAGACAGATACGGTACTGGATCTAAAAACATCTGAAAGCTGCACAATAGAATACCTTTTCTATTCCTTAGCAAACGTCTACAAAACTCTTCTGCTTTCATGCTTGCACACAAGTGTATTATAGGACAATGACCTGCCCTATTCACGCACAAGAGGTCTAGACAGCATCTTCTTGCAAGTGTTAATTTTTAATATAAATGTACTTCTTCCCTTTTCAAAAAGAATATGTGCTTTATTTTAATTGGTAGCTAGGAAGTTCCATGTGGGAGTTCTCCTACATCTAATAAAAGTTCTGTTGAATGTGATGCAACTTGGTGACTATCATCTTGCAATCATTCAGACAGATCTGCTTCTCTTCTCCACATTCATGAGACCACTTGCTAACACATCTTCTGGAGCCTACTGAACTCAGTTCTTCACTCAGCTCCCCTCCCCCGCCCCGCATCCTTTCCTTTTATTTTCCACCAATCTTTTAATGTATTATTATGGTTGGTCGCACGGTCAGCCAAATGTTTAGACTGGATTTGGCATTTTTGTCCACCTATTGAGTCCTTCCCAAGGACCTGGGATAGGAAGATGTTATTGTTTAATAATATTAAAGGTGTCAGGGTGTGCAGCGTACATTTCGTGCAGTGGTACTCCGTGAGACAAAATAAACAGTCCACAGTCCAATGTAGAAAACTTGCACACAGACATTTACTGTACAATACATACAGAATGTACACCAACCTGCAAATCCCTAAGTACTTCCCAGAACTCCAACACCAGCCACAACTCCTATCACCAGCTACACTATAACCCATGGTGCACTTTGCTATATACAGTGGTTTGTGCTGTGTCATGCTGCCACACCCTACAGGTGTGTGCTCTGGGCGGGTTGCGGGGATTGCAAACACAGTCAAGCTGTGCTCTGTCAAGTGCATATTTTCACTGAGAAATTCTTTACTCCAGGGTAATACCCTGATAATCATTGCAGGATGTAAGGTGTTTCAAGTAAAGCTGTGTTTTGCAACTGACTGATGGTGATTTTGTCACAATTTTGTTGTTGTTGTTATTATTATTATTATTATTATTATTATTATTATTATTATTATTTTATTTTAATTCATGCCAATTTGATTGTTGTATTTTAGTAGTTTTACTTTGTAATCCACTTGAAGATGACTACATGCTAAGCAATATAAAAATATATTAAGTACGCAATCCCAAGTTCATATCATAGGTTAGATAAGCAGGGGTTTGAGGTCTTTTTAGAATACTGTACAGCAATTATTTTCCATGGAATCTGATTTGCTGTTGAGTGTCTTTTTAACAAAAAGAATGACAACATAAACTCACCTGGCTGATAATAAAATGAAATTAATGAATTCTAGCTTTTATGACTCTTGCCCATACTCAGCAAGATTTACTTCCAAACATCTGGGGTTGTCAGAAAAAGTTGTGGTCCACTCGTGGCTTGAATGCACTATACAGAAACCAGCAGATGAAGCTGTCCAGCCACCAGCGTGGACTAGAGCAGTCGGCATTGCTACCCAGCCTAGCCCTAGCCCAGCACCGACATCACTAGCAGGGGCTTGTTTGCAAGGTATGATTAAGACCGTACAATAAACCGAGAGGAGTACTTGCCACGAGGGATGGACGGGGCCCCAGGCGCGCACAGCGGGCTTGCAACGGGGAGGCAGGAGCAGCTCTCGCAGCCCTTGCAGAAGCCACATCAGGCTTCAACGGGGATGATCCCACCGCCTTCGCGGACCTGCCTCCGACTGGAGGGCAGGAGATTTCGCCTCCTGCCAGCTCTACTCGGAAAGGAAATCTGGCGACAACTAAAGGGAGCCCCGTGGATCACCCAAGTACATCTAGTCGCCCCGGGCGACACAGCCGTAGGGACTGCCGTTCCGCAGGACTCCGCTTCCTTACCCCAGATTCATGGCTGCGTCTCTGCTCCGCGGACTAGCGCGGGAGCCCGTCATCCAGGGCAGGCCGGTGGGCAGCGGCAGCGGCAGCGGCAAGAGGTGCACGAACAGCCCCCTGGGCGGCTCTCGGCTTAATGTGTGTACGTCGGTTGCTGCCACCGCACAATGAAAGACGAGCTGATAGGCCTGCGGCTGCCCCGGTCCTTTCACCAATGAGCTCCGTTCTCACTTATCGGGTAGAGCTCCCTGCCTGCGAAGCATTGTGGGAATTGGAGTCCAGACGAATCTTGTTTTTCCCGCGCCGTCCGAGGTGGAGGGGGCGGCGAGGTGGAGGAGGGGCGAGCGGAAGAGCCGTTAGAAACGCTTTCCAGGCTCTTCAGAAGCGGCGAAGCGCTGAACGTTCCTATTTTTCTCTTCTAAGGGTCCTTTATACATCAGG